TTTGGTATATTAAACCCCTACAAAAAGAAAAGTTTAAACTTTTTTGGGCCAGGTTGCTGTTCAGGAGCTTTCATTAAGTTACCACAAGAAGGACATCTCATTGTTTAGTTTACTATGTATCCCCATTAACGTGACTCAAATTCAGTTACGATAATAGGAAACCCAAGTTTTCACTACGTATCCTCATGAAAGTAACTTAAACCCAAAACCCAAAACATTAAACCTAAACCCCCTAAACCCCTACACCCCTAAACCCCTATACACCCTTAAACCCTGAACTTCAAAACCCAAAACCCTAAAACCCAAACCCTAAACTCTAAATTAAGTTCAAACCCTAAGCCCTAAACCCTAAAACTCAAACCCTAAACCCTAAACTAAGTTCCTTAAAGCCGCAACCCAGGATGCTCCATGAGACTCTCACAGGACGCCCCTCTCCCTGTCACAATGCCGACGGGACCTCAGCTGCCGGTTTGCGGTGTCTTGGGGGGCTCGGTTTAGGGTTTTCAGGGTTTAGGGTTTTCAGGGTTTAGGGTTTAAGGTTTAGGGTTTAGGGTTTAGGGTCTTCAGGGTTTAAGGTGTAGGGTTTAAAGTTCGGGGTTTAGGGTCGAGGGTTGAAGCTTTAGAGTTCAGGGTTAGAAGGGTTTTATAGGGGGCTAAAGGAACCCATGAACACGAGAATCTCCGGTCTTCACAGAGGAAGTCGTCTCCACGAAAGTTTCAACCCACCGACAGAGATGCACAGGGGTAGTTGTCAAAATTATGGTCCCTTTTGGGGTACCCTTAATAATAGGTGCCGTATTATAGTAAGCACCCAAAAAGGGACGATAATTTTGACAACCACCCAATATAACTGTCCCTAACCCAGGACATTTTCGAGACTCTTTTTCTGCTGGATGTCGTGACGTTCACAATCTCCCAGGCACAGAACGGGGGGACTTAAGCGGGCGGTCGAGTAATGTCTCGTCGAGTAATTTTCTGGAAAGTCTTCGCCTTTATCAGTGTTTTCCGTTGCGCTTTGATGGAGATTACATGATATTTCCTCGATCTCGTCAGCATTTTCCAGCATCAATCACCCGGTAGTAAACAGCACCGCCTACTGTGATCTCTTGCAAGATACTGCTTTAGTCGGCGTATACTGTACTGCACGCTGCTTCGAGTCAGGCGCTGGGCCCTTTTTGTGTGCCCTGACGGAGTCCTAAACCCTTAAACCCTAAACCCCTAAACCCTAAACCCTAAACCCTAAACCCTAAACCCTTAACCCTAACTACCTCAATCCTGCATCCTCAGCGGTTCACGTGTTCTTGAGTAGAGTTTGCGTTGCTTCGGCCGAAGCTGTTTCATTATCATTCGGGATCCTACTATATTTCAAGGTATATTCCTTTAGTTCTTATAGTGCCCTTACATAAACCCTTACAGATCCCTTCACGGGAACCCTAAAAGGTATCTTCCTGAGCTAAAGGATTTTCGGAGGCCTGGGTCCCCGAATCTGCTTCCTAGTCAGATTTGAGGGTTTGGGGTTTAGGGTTTAGGGTTTAGGGTTTAGGGTGCCTTCTGTCACTGGCCCGTACTGTGAGGTAAAGAATTTCGAAGGATATCTGTTGGGCTCTCTGGGAAAAGGTAGTCCGTCCTCAAGCTACGCTCCTGCGTGCTACCATACAGGCCTAAAGACTTGCGGGTACTTGGCGTTCCTTTGTATACATCTGGTATAATATAGGTACTTACCTGTATTATTCCTTGGGGTTCCGTAACATATTTGCAGTATGCTATACCCCCAAGCCGCGTTCTAATTACTAATCTGTGTTATGACTATAGTATACTCTAATCCAAGACCCTATTCTATTGTTTAAGGAGCCTACATTCCTTCTCAGAGGCAAGTGATGGGCTCTGCTGGCTGCTTCTCCCGGCGTCCCTTCTGTGGCGCAGCCAGCAGATCCTGGGCGAGTCTCGGTCGCTTCAAGAGGCTTCTTGTGGGCTTTGTAGCAGGCGCAGGTTTAGGGTTTAGGGTTTAGGGTTTAGGGTTTAGGGTGCAGCAGCAGGAGCAGGAGCAGGAGTAGAAGGGGAGTAGTCGTCGTCGTAGTCGTAGGCGGAGTAGTCGTCGTCGTAGTCGTAGGCGTAAGCGCGAGTCGTCGTCGTGGTCGTCGAACCTGGCTTTCTTCATAAGCCGGTTTATAGTGAACCCGGATGAGGGTGAATGGGGACAATCATGTCCCAACTTTCTGAGTCCCTCGCAGCAGCAGAGCTGCAACCTGCACCCCAGGCAAAGTACCCATATATCAAAAAACTTTCATCATTACAAACTAATTATACCTTAGAGTATGAAAGATACCCCCTGAAGCCTGCTTGTTAAGTCCCCTGACCTTGATGTGCTTGAAGCCTTGGGCGGGCTGTAGTTTGAGGTCACAAAAACTGTGTCGGCTTGAGGGTTCAGGCTTCATTCAGGGTTTAGGGTTTAGGGTTTAGGGTTTAAGGACCCAGCAATGAGATACTGAGGTTTCGGATAGAAGTTATGTAGGTTACTAGTTGGGAGAGTATATGAATAATTGGTACCTGGAACCTCGGGGTAACCCTAAACCCTATGGTACAGCCTGAGTCTAGGTTGAGGGTTGGGGCAACACTTCGCCCTTAAGTGTCAGCTCAGGAACTCGAATAAGGCTCACCAAACATGAGGGCCTAACCAAATTGATTGCCACTATCATATATTCCTCCGGGCTCCTGGCTACAAAGCATACCGGAAAGGAGCTCAAAACCCTAAACCCTAAACCCAAAACCCTAGACCCCAAAACCCTAAAACCCTAAAGCCCTAACCCTAAAACCCTAAAGCCCTAGAACCCTAAAACCCTAAAGCCCTAAAGCCCCAAACCTATTCTAAGGATCAAGGCCCCTCGGGAAGTTCAACCCCTGAACCCTAACCCGAAGCCTGAAGCCTAAACCCTAAGCCCATAAACCCCTCAACCCTAAACCGAAGCCTGAGCTTTGAGCCTTAAGCCGGAAACCCTGAAACCCTTATCGGAGCTTTAAAGGAACCCTGAAAGGAGTGATTTGAAGGACCCCTACTTGGAGGCCCGGGGACTTAGGAACTAGGTTATAAGTAGAGTTATAAGTGCCCTAAATGGAGTTACCCCAATTATAACCCTACTTACAACCGACCTACTGAGTTTTCTGGGCCCCTAAACCCTAAGCCCTAAACCCTAAACCCTAAACCCTACTCTAAGTAACTAAAGCCTTGCAAGCCAACAAAAATCCGAAACCCGAAACCCTAAACCCTAAACCCTAAACCCTAAACCCTACTCTAAGTAATCCAAAAGAGCGGAAGCCAAAGGGGTGTCTCAAAGCTCAGCATGCCCAGGTCTTCCAATGCGGTTTGGGGTTTAGGCTTTTGGGTTCAGTATTGAGGTTTAGGGTTTAGTGTTTAGGGTTTACGGCTTAGTATTTAGGGTTTAGGCTTTAGTTGAAGGTCGATGTTCCTTGATTCTTACAGTACCCTTGCAGAAGTCCTTCTAGATCCCTTTAATTTAAGGAACCCTAAAAGGTATACTCCTTAACTACCGTATCCTACCAAATCCTACTTTTTTGTAAGTTCTTATCATGGGCCAGAATATGGAATTTATAAGGACCCTACAAAAAACAGTAGGTTCTGGTGGGTTAAGGTATTCCTCAATTATGGGATATGGGTAGATCTGGGTCCAACTCCTCGAAGGCTGGGGAGGAACGCTGGGCCGGAACCTCAGGCGGTCGGTGGCTTGCAGCATAGAATTCAGGTTCAGGGTTTAGGAGATATGAGGGTTTAGGAGATATGAGGGTTTAGGAGATATGAGGGCTTGGGAGATATGAGGGTTTGGGAGATAGGAGGGTTCATCGGGATTTATTAGCGTTTAGTGCAGTTCTTTCGAGGTTTACGAGGCGTTGAAGAGCCGCAGGCATTGAAGAAGGACTCCCGAAAGGTTCGCGGCATGTATCCCGGGTCATGTGTCGGTTAGTTCCAAGCAAGTGCAAAAAGATCTTGCTGCTCTGGGCCACGTCTGTAAATCCTAAACGCTCGACTCTATCGGAATCTGTCGTCCCTGGAAATATCTGTGAATGAACTCATTATCTCGGTCGTCGTCATCATCATCAGCATTGTGTGCAGCTGCTGCTGCTCTTGCCACGCATGCTGCTGCGACGACGACGTTCTACCGCTACTCCCACTCCGGCTCCTACTTCCACTCATGCTCCTGCTACTGCTACTGTTAAGCCCCAGACCACGTCATGCCTTCCAGTGCGTGGAAGCGCCCATCTCCCGGGTCTAAGCTTAGTTCTAAATCCTAAACCCCGAATCCCCAAAGTCTAAACCCTAAACCCCTAATCCCCAAGGGCCCAAACCCCCAAAGCTTCAGGTCCTGGCCTACCGGCATCGTTTCGCCATGCTCCTGCCTGTAGCGCTGCTGGCACCTGCACTCCGCATCTTCTTGGGTGGAGTGGTGGGCGGAGGCCACGAATAGCTTTCCTTGCGGCTCGTTGCTGTTGCTGTAGTAACAACCCTAAGGGTCCAAAGGACCCAATATTAAGATACTTAGGTTTCGGATAGTAGTTATGCCGGTTAATTCCTATCTGGGAGAGGAAATGATTGTTGGGTCTTTGGACCCTTGGGGTAAAGCACGCACCAGAGCCCTATTCTAACGACGAAGGCCCCTATGTTGGGAGCCGGGTGTAAGGTTTGAGTTCCTCGTGCTTAAGCCTAAACCCTAAACCCTAAAACCCTGAAGCCCTAAACCCTAAACTCCTAAACCCTAAAATCCTAAACCCCAAAACCCTAGACCCTAAAACCCTAAAGCCCTGAAGCCCCAAAACCCTAAACTTCTTCGTGTCGGTGCCTGTAGCCCTAGAGCCCTGGAGCCCCGAACCCTACACCCCAGGTTTCCGGTTGAGGGTTTCAGGGTTTAGGGATCAGGGTGTAGGGTTAGGGTTGAAGGTTTAAGGTACAGGGTTTAAGGTTTAGGGTACACCTTGGGAACCTCAATACCTCAGTATACCGACGCCCCAAAACCGTATCTACAGTACACCGTGAAAGCTCAAAGCCCTACTTACAACTTCTAAGCCTCTAAGCCCCATGCCCTACCTACGGCTTCTAAGCGCCAAGCCCCCTTACGGATAAAACCCTTGGCAGGTCCGGTCCGTGTAGGCCTTCTTCGCTTCCTTGGCGTACTTCTCATCACAGGCTCCTGCATACAGGACAGAGTCCCCAACGTGTTTAGGGCTTAGGGTTCCCAAATGCCGAATCCCTTAAAATAGCGGGAGTTGCAGCTACTGTATTATTGCTTGGGGTTCCCTAACAGAGGCTTGGTTCTGACATGATATACCCCTAAACCCTACTACTCTAATTAACAGGGGTGTTGCGGTCCTGGGGATAGTTTTTGTTGTTCAAGGGTTTGGAGTTTTGCAGACCAGACCCAACCGTCGCACACCGAAGTCGAAAGCTCCTATCTGAAGCCTTACTATTCATTTTTGTAATTATTATTATCCCTAGACCCTAAACCCTTAACCTTACTATTCATTTATGTATATACTATTCTCTAACCGCGACAGCCTGAAGTCACAACCCCCAAACCTTAAGTGCAATGACCCTTCAACTTCCCCTAAACCCTAAACCCTAAACCTAGACCCTAAATCCTAAACCCTAAACCCTAAACCCTAAATCCCAAAGGCGTCGGACCCGACACTCGAGACCCTTCAGCGGTACCTACTGCAACCCTAAAGCACGGACCTCAAAACAAGCCCCATCTAGGGTTTAGGGTTTAGGGTTTTGGGTTTAGGGTTTGGGGACCGATCCAAGTCATAAGGCGCTCTAAGCCACCAAGCGGTCTATTGTCTAAACCCTAAAACCTAAACCTTAAACCCTCAAACTTAACCCTACACCCTAGCCCTAAACCCTGAACCCTATACGCCCGAAAGGCAGGTTTTGGGTTTCGGGTTTGAAGCCACAAGCCGCTGAGCCCAGATTTTCTGCCAAAGCCTGGCCTGGCCTAACCCTGCTTTGATTCAGGGTTTAGAGTGTTTAGGGTTTAGGGTTCAGGGTTTAGGGATTCGGGTTCCGGGTTGAGGGTTCGAATCCTGAACTTTAAAGCTAGAAACCCCATGGGACAAGGCAGCGAACGAGATGTTTAGTTGGATTCTTCTGTATCTTATAGGCTTAATGCCCGACTGCCCACTCGAAGCGCCAAGTGTACCCTCAACCCTTACTAAAGCCCTTTACCCTCTACACAAACGGGCTTCTAATCCGAAACGCCCTACAGATCCACATAACAAGCATTATTTTAAAACCCCACAGCACAAGAGCCTAAACCCAGCACAAATCCCCAAACCCTAAAGCACTGACTCAGTAAACCCTGACAGCCTAAACCCCTGAAGCCAAAAGCGTACAATACCCTTGTCGATCCCTTGTAGGAACCCTTAAAGCAACTCCAAAGCTCTACCGTCGTAGGATACCCTTGTAGATCCCTTGTAGGAACCCTTTAAAGACACCCAAAGCTCTAGCGTCGTAGGATGCCCTTGTAGATCCCTTGTAGGAACCTTTAAAGACACCCCAAAGCTCTAGCGTCGTAGGATGCCCTGAGCTACGGCACGACCGACTGGCCAGAGCCCTTCCTGCGCCTGGCTCTGAGCCTCCAAGGCCTCTTGGCCAGGCACCTTCCAACCTCGGGCTTGGAATGGTTTAGGGTTTAGGGTTTAGGGTTTAGGGTTTAGGGTTTAGGGTTTAGGGTTTAGGTTCGGAATCTGGATTCAGGGCTTTGGGCCTACCTATGGTCTCCATTGTAGTTCCTTTGGGGATAC